TTGCTAACTCTCCAATAAATTCATGTGAACCTTAAGGGTACATAAAATGGGGACGTCTGAAATTCTGTGGCATCTTTTGGAGTATTTTGCAATGATGGTGAAGAAAGAGTTGATGGCTGAGGCAGCAGTGAGCCCGAGAAGGCAGCGAGTGGGGGTGTGCGTGGCGTGTGCTTGTGAATAAACCAGTGGCCACTGCCTGCCCTGGGGGCTCCTCGAGGACCATCCCGAGTCCTGGGCCCCCGAGGCTGGAGCTGGGCCAGGGCTCCCTCCCTGCCCTGTCCCCACACCACACGGCCCCCCTCATGCTGGCCTGCTCCTGAACCCAGGCGTGGGTACCAGGGGCCCTCCCTTGGGGAGGCGACTCTCAGTTCATGGCCACGAGAGCACCGAGGCCCACAACACTGCTGGGGGCGAGTGTGGGCGCCTGTGGCACATGGGGAAAAGACCACACCAGGAGCACTGCAGCTCTTAAAACTGCCGATGCTCCCAGCTATCGCCTGAGGGAACGAGGCCTCCTGACACTGCCAGCTCAGACAGAGGAAAGTAGGGCTCATGCAAAACCCTGCCCGATTCTGCAGGAACACGACTTGCCAAGGACACCCTGAACTAAAATCACTGGCCCATAGCTGCACATTAGCAAAGTACTCTTTCAGCTTGATTTGAATCAACAATTTTTCCAATTGTTTTCACTTATTTTTTAAAAAGACACAAAAGTCGGGTGTGATAATGGAGTTTCACGTGAAGTTCCATACTGATAATTTTTTAAAGACTCAGTCTAGAAAAACTCTTCCTTTGCGATAAAAAATCTCAAAATCTTCACTAAAAATTTTGAGAGTCAATTAAATATTCCTGAGTAGAGTTTTCTGTATCAGGAAAAAATTCTCCAGGAAAGTAGTGAAAATGAATTCACAGAAAAAAAGGAGGAAACTCCGTGAGAGAAAACTGCCCTGGGTTTTAATGCAGGCGACAGACATGAAGCTGAAGAACTAGCTGCCCTGCATGTACTTAGGAGTGGCACAGTGCTTTACCTTAAACAACGGGGTGTGGAGAGCAAAACGGGGCTTGTAACTGAATAAAATCATAGAGAATTGGATATACCAACTTCTAGAATTACTTATGGAAAAAAAGACGACTGCTGAAGACCATCACTAGGCGATGCACCAAGGCCTCCAAGCCCTGGGGAGGGCCAGGAGCCCTCCTAGTCCCGGGGAGAGCTGGGAGCCCTCTGAGCCCGTCTGGGTAGAGGCATGAGTCCTCTTGGTATTTCTACTTCTCAGATTTTAGGACATATTAAGAAATAAGTAGGCCAGGCGTGGTTGTGCACGCCTGTAATCCCAGTGGCTTGGGAGACTGAGGCAGGAGGATTGTGAGCGAGTTCAAAGCCAGCCTCAGCAAAAGAGAGGCACTAAGCAACTCAATGAGACCCTGTCTCTAAATTAAAAAATACAAAATCGGGCTGGGATGTGGCTCAGTGATTGAGTGTCCCTGAGTTCAATCCCTGGGGCCCCCCACCACCAAAAAAAGAAATAAAGAAAGAATTAGGCCATCACATTTCAGCTGAAGGGCAGCTCTCCGATGTCTGTTCTTGAGACACAGAACAGATTTCAGTAACCAAACAGCACAACACAATGTCACTGCAACAACAGTCTTGAAAGCCACCAAGCCGACAGACAACTGCAGCCGCAGTACGTCACAAGCAATCATCTCAGGAAGAGGAGTCTCAGGACTCGAGTGTGACTGTATCACAATACTCAAATCTGTTTTCAACTAAAACGGAGATACCATAAGGCATCCACAGAAACAGAAGAGTATGCCCATTTGTTTACAGGAAAAAAAAAAAAAAAAACTCACAAAGAATCCGTGAGGACGGCCAGACTTTGGACTACCCTAAGACTTTCAACCAATGCCTTAAATGTCTCCAAGCACTAACAGAAACCAAAGAACCCAAAACAAGCATGGAAGACTGATAAGGATGAGAGTTACAAAAAGAGACCAACAGAACCTCACAATTGAAAGGTCAGCTGCAGTGAAGGACCCCTAGAGGAGCATCATAGCTAGGTGGACACTGGCTGAGGAGCGAGCAGTGAACGTGAGGATCAGGCCCCAGAAGTCACCCAGTCTGAGAAGGACAAAAAGGAGGGGTAAAGGAAAATGCGCAGAACCCACCAGATCTGAGGGAGCCTCGGGCATTCTGATACACACACGACTGGAGCCCAGAAGGAGAGGGAGAACAGCGTGGGAAGACTGGAGAAGTAATGGCTGAAAACATCCTAAGTTTGGTGAAAGATGTAAATCCACATGCCCAAGATGCTCCACCAACAGGAGTGACAGTCATTACTCAAATCAACAAAAAATTCTCCATTGAGTAATGACAGCAAGGGAGCAAAAGGAATCACACCAAAAGCCCAATGAGATCAGAACGCTAACCTTCCAAAAGCAAAATGCCAAACAAACCCATAAAATGCAAAAGTGGGAGCAGGTATGCGCATTTTAACAAAATAGTAAAGCTAAATGAAAGGAAGTCCTGGTGTTCAGATCCCCAGAAACACAGAACAGAGCCCTTTAGCGGTGGCCTTGGGTGAGAGAGCACTGGGCTCCCTGTGCTGAGACCAGGACAGGCAGCAGCTCGCGTCACATGCAGGGACAGTGGCTGCCAGCACTCCCTGAAAGGCTACCACAAAGCCAGCAAAGGCCCCTCTGCTGCACCTCTGTGCAGTGGGCAGTCGGCCTCCTCGGAGGCACGGGCCCCAGCCATCCCCAAAGCAGATGTTGGCAGCAGCCTCTGCCTTCCATCTGACCCCTGGGCACACGCCCATGAAGCTCACCAGGTCCTGAGCACACCGACAGCAGCACTGCTCATGGAAGTGCTCACGGGCACCCAAGGTGGGAGACAGGGCTGGAGTGGGCAGGCAGGAAGCTGGGCCCCCAGGGCACGTCTCTGTGCAGCAGGGCTGGAAACTAGACTTGAGCCAGGCCTCACCAAGCTCAGGCCGACCCCCAGGAGTCAAAAGGGGGCATGGCGACCTGACTGGACCAGAGAGCGCGGGCAGGCAGGTGGACACTGAGGGCCTTAGCAGGGCTGGGCTGGGGGCCAGCTCCCCTGACCCTGAAGACGCACACACACCCTGGCCCCCAGCACTCTCCAGGACCCCTCTCTACAGGTCTACAGACCCTGCCCTGCAGGAGCCCGGGTCTCTCCGTGTGGCTCTAATAACCCACCCCTCACATCTGTCCCCCTAGACCACGACTGGCAAGCCTTCACCCAGAGCCTTGATAAGCCAGGGACTGCAGCAGCCCAGAGCGCAAGTGCGCACCAAGGAGTCTGCACAGAGCCACCGGGCCATCGCTGAGCTCGTGAACTTCCAGAAGGAAAAAGGTCCACTTCTTGGCACCTGTGAAACCGCGCCCCTGCTTCCTAAGACCGAGCGGGCCCTGTTCTTTCTTTTTTTTAAATATTTTTTAGATGTTGACAGACCCTTATTTTATTCATTTACTTATACACAGTGTAGAAAATCAAATCCAGTGCCTCACATACGCTAGGCAAGTGTTCTACCACTGAGCCAGACCCCAGGCCCCCCACACCCCCACGCCCACCCCCACCCCCATTCCTTCTTATCTGACGGTGTGACCTTCGCATCATCTCCAGTTTAGCCTGTAAAACACCTGCCATCTAGAGACCCCTGGACCACATCTTCAAGGATGCTCACTGGTCACTGGGGCATGAAAATGAAACTGTGACGAGGTGTCCTCTCACACTAAGAGGCCGTCACCAAAGAAACGCTGAGTGAGAAAGTGAGGCCGTGGGAACCCCCACACGTGGCCGTGGGACAGCCAAGGGCAAAAGCAGGTGGAAAAGCACCGCTTCCCCACGACACGCCGTCCCCACAGAGTCCACAGCAGAGGACGGACAGGAGCAAAAGCACCGCTTCCCCACGACACGCCGTCCCCACAGAGTCCACAGCAGAGGACAGACAGGAGCAAAAGCACCGCTTCCCCACGACACGCCGTCCCCACAGAGTCCACAGCAGAGGACGGGCACGAGCAAAAGCACCGCTTCCCCACGACACGCCGTCCCCACACAGTCCACAGCAGAGGACGGGCACGAGCACTTCAGGGAAAGCTGCACCTGGTGCCCAGGGCAGCCTCCCGTGGCTGGCCCACACAAAGCCTTCGCTCCTCAGCAGGACAACATCACAGCACCTGGGAGCCCAGGCTCAGGAGGGGTGCTGCAGGAGGCAGGCCCGTGGCTGCCCTGGGCCCAGGACTCTGCCTGGATCACCGAAACCCTCCCAAGTTCAATCACGGCGCTGCACAGCTCTAGCACACCAGGGCATCTGGCTTTAGGCTTCGCGTGGGTGAACTTGAACCACGCAGCCATCTCAGTGGAGCTGTTTTTTAAGAAAGCAGAAAGATGAAACAACTGGCAGGCTCTGGAAGATCTCCCAGGCATCTCAGTGCCAGGGCAGCTGGGCACTGGCTGGACGCAGGTAGCATCGCTGAGGCCACCGGCTTCAGGAAGTACTTCTGTGTGTGGCTTCTGTGACACATGCAGGCAAGGTCCTTTCCGATCTCTGCAGGCCCCACTCCTGCCCTGAAGACCCCAAATGGCTCAGGGCCACAGCACCCCCACCTGCATCCCTTGTAGGCCCCAGGCTCAGTTCCACTGCCACCACTGCAGAGCTCCCCCAGCCCAACTCCCAGCTGGGACAAACTTCATCACTAGGGACACTGTCCCTGCAGGTGACCCAGGATGCTGAGGAACACTGAGGTGCCCTCAAGGGGCAAGAAACTCAGACATCACAGGGCCCATGGCCCTCCAACCGCAGCACACAGCACCCAGAACAGAAGGGCCACAGCAGGCGGAGAGGCAAGGGGGACTCACATGGACGCTGTGGAAGAGCCCCGGCACCACGTGTCTAATGTGCTCCACAGCCAGCCACCCTGGGAGGCAACTCAGCAAGAAACCTGAGGCTGCAGGCCCACGGGCTTCAGCTACTCACCCTCCTTGAGTCGCGACGGGAGCAGCAGGCCTCGTCTGCCCAGTTCCGCCAGTGCCAGACATCCGCCGTGCCATGCCTTGTCCGTCTCCTGAAAACTGAGAGCAGAATTCCGGGGTCAGCTCTAAGCTCAAAGCCCAGTTCCGCAAGGAACACAGGCCAAGCCCATGCTCTGAGCCCATGAGCCCCACGGCTGACCCAAGAAACAAGATGCTCCAGTTTACCACAAACAAGACTACTGCGCCATACCCCTCCTTGGGTCCCCAACAGCAGAGGGCCCAGCCCAGACCCAGACCGCCTGCCAGCCACAGGCAGGCCCGCCCCACGTGCTCTACCACAGCCACAACACCCCAGCTCTTCTGCACACCCAGGCACAACCTCACTCAGCAACAAGCAGCGATACACGTCAGGGAGTCGGGCTCAGCAGGGATCCCACGTCCAGGCTCCAGCGTCCCTCCTGCCTCAGCCTCCCAAATAGCTGGGCTTCAGATGTGCCACGTGCACAGCCAAAGCGTGGACTTGTAATGAAGGCCTGCCATAACCCTCATCAGGTCAAAGGTCGTATTTCACATTCAATTAAAATGTCCCTTTGGGGGCCCGTGAACCTGCAGGTGTGGCCTGCCATTACCTTTACTGTGAACAACTGCCTTTCAGATAGATGGGGGCTGTGCTTGGGGATTCACACTTGCTTCCACATGAGCGTGGAGACACACGTCCCCAAAAAGAGAAACACTATAAGGCTTTAGCCAGCTCTGATCAAATGACTCCACAGCAAGGACCGTGAGGGAAGCCGTCCACACTGACTGCAGCACACCGGCACACTTGGTCACCGGACCTCCTGCCCACGAGTGGGCGTGAGCCAGGCCTCCGGAGGCAGCCTCCTGGAGGAAAGCTGCCCAAACTCGGGCACAGCCATGATGTCTGAGGCCCCAGCTGGCCAGGCGGCTCTCCAAACCTAAGCACCACCACCCTGTTTTCAGAAGAGGCTCGTCACACGGCTTGTGCAGACAGGAGGGCAGCATGAACGCACAGAACCTTGTCGCCCTGCCTCACGGGGAACTCAGACAAGCCATCCCTCTCTCAGTGAAGGGGTGTGCTCCGTGGTCCCTCCAGGCTGGCTGGGGAGAGCACCAGTCACTGGACACCAAGGGGATGCAAACATCAGCCAAGCAGTTGAAGGGACCCAGAGAAGTGGCAGTGCACAGCAAGGGAGCACCCACTGGCAGGTCGGGGACTCGGGCCTGTGCTCGGAGCCAGGGTGCTGGTCCTTCTGTCAGCAAGCCTGGGGTGAAGAATCAAGGGTGCTAAGACTACTTCGAACCTCCAAACTGGTGCACACTGGAGGTTCAACTAGCCACACAGAGGCCCCAGGCCAAGATCAGGCGCGGGGAGACAGGGCAGTTGAGAGCAGCACACGCCAGGCCCCTCAGGGCCCCCAGGGAGGAGGAAGAGGCAGAGGAAGCTCCAGGAGGGCCCGGGTGAGCAACCAGAGGGAGGTGCAGCAACACCACGAGGAGAGAGGGGCCAGGAGGGAAGCACGAAACCGATGCCCGCCCTCCTGCAGGCGGCTCCTTGGTGCTCCCTCTCCCCCAAGGAAGGAAGCCCCAGCAACCTGGGCCACTGCAGGGGAAGTGCACAGCACTGGCACACCAGCAGAGGCTGCACGCTCACCCATCCCGGCCTGCACGGGCAGCGTGTGCTTTCTGTAGGAGCTCTTCTACTACGTGCACGGTTATTTCAAAAAAGACGACCAGTCTTTGACATGTTTCCTGCATTTGGTCAACTGCCACTGAGCAGCCCCAAGGCCAAGTGCAAGGAGGAGCCTGCTCCAGGGAAGGCAACCCTGGAGCCTGCGGAGCTGTCCTTGCCAACTGACCACCAGCACGCAGTGGCTCCCAACACTGACAGCACAGGATCTGCAGACAGTCACTATCAGGCAGGGGGACAGGTCCCCAGGAACAGTGACGGCCAGCAAGGGCCACTGGGAAGGGGTTCCCCAACCAGACCAAGGCCACCCTACGCCCTCTCCCTCCTGAACCCAGAGCCTTCCAACAGCAAAGCAAAGAACCCCACCAGGGCCCTCCACACTGGTCTGCAGTCCCCACCCAGCACCCTCATCTACAGGTCACACACCCTTCAATCAGAACTCACTGAAAGGTTGATTAACTCAACTCAACCTCAGATTCAGGCTGTGGTCACAGCAGCCACCTGGCAAGTAACCCCAGTAGGGACGACCCAACATCTTCCCTCACCCCAGGAATCCCTGGGAGGCACCGGCCTGCCCACACTCACGCACATCTGGTGTGCACAGGCTCAGAGCGGGCTCCACGTGGGCCTCAGGGTCTCAGATATACAGTGTTGATAAAGGAAACACCAGAAATAACTAGAGCTCTCCAGCTGAGCCCCAGAGGGGCCAGGGCGCTGGGGCCCAGGCAGCTGCTCAGGGCGTGAGGAGAGAAGGCCACTGCCCATCCTGAGCACAGTGCCCTACCTGAAGCAGTCCAACACAGACCCAACCACATCATCCGCCAGCACTCTGGGGAGCCGTCCAGCCATCCTGCCGATTCTGAAAGAGAAGTGACAGCTGTCAGCACTGCAGCTCAAGGGACGTGTGACCCACAGCACGGTCCCAAGCAGCTCTTTTCTCTAAGCACAGCAGCAGTGCAAACTCAGCACACACCGAGCTTAACAACCGTATCCTGCGCCCAGGGAAGGGATGCCTGAGCCCTGGGGCAGGGCAGGGGCCACCTCTCATCATATAGACTGGACAGTGGAGGCCCTCGCTGGTAGCCAATGGCACCCAGCACAGGCACACACTGAGGCCACACTTCCACACAAGACCTGCTGTCCCACTGGCTGCTGGTGAGGCATGGGCTGCCTAACATGGCCTCCTACCCATCTACCACAGAAGCCCAGGGAGCCCTGCAGCCCTCAGGGAGCTTCCAGCACACGCACAACCCCAGGAGACCACAGACAGAGCAGTCCCACCTGCCCCCACTGCCAGCCCTGGGTGGCCTGCCTACGTACCCCTTGGCGGCCTACTTACCCCTTGGCTGCAGACCACCGCACCACGGTATCTTTGTCCTTCAGCCCAACCAGCAGCTGCTCTGCAAGAATAAGCACACACATCGCCAGTCCAGACAGCTCAAGGTGACCCGCAGCCAAACAATACCCTGGAGACAACTGCAGTGGTCACAGCACAGAGCAGTTCCCCGTCCTGCCTGGCAGTAACCAGAGAGCCCATGGCTGTTCCCACCTAGACCTCAATAGGCAGCAGCCATCTCTCCAGCTGAAAGCCGAGGGCCAGGGTCTCCCAGGCCATGAGGGAGGTCAGGGGACTGAAGCAGACTGGGGGCTATCCAGAAAAATCCCAGAGGATGAAGCCTGGGGCTAGCCTCAGAACAGACCCAGGCCAGCAAGGAGGTAGTCTAAGGCATATGTAAGTGTCCTGCTAGCCTGACAGAGTCTAACCTTTGGCCAAAGGCAGTGGGCAGCCCCAGGAAGGTCTGACTTGGAGAAACAGTCACAGGCACTAGGGTATCTGAAGAACCAATGAGCAGACGGGACATGAGGAGGCACAGAGTGGACGAGAACGTGTCGGGGCAGTTGGCATTGACAGGGCAGATGCACAGGGGCTCAGCCTGGGATGAGGAGCTCAGGGGGCTTTGAGTGGCCAGGGCAGCCCAGAAGGGGAACTTGAGAAGCGTCAGGAGTCAGGGAGGAGCGAGTGCTCCTGGGAGTTAGCGGCGAGCTCTGTGCCAGGGGAGGGGTGTGATGCAGATCTGACCTCCCAGGGGAAACCAGCCCCAAGGAGCAGATGCTGGCGCTGACGCTAGTGCGCAGACCACCCGGCCAGGCCCAGCCTCCCAGCCAGTGGGCAGGAGAGGTCCCTACAGGGAGGGAGGCCATACAGCCTCCTGAGGCTGGTCACAGTAAGAGGCCTGGCCAATGGTGTGACTGTGGGGGAGCCACTAGGCTGAGGGCAGGCACTGGTGCAGACCCTTGCAAGGCCAAGAGCAAAGGGACTTGAGGTGACCTTGAGAAAGCAGGGAGACACAGCAGGCTGTGAGGAACCAGAGGCCTGGGCCCTGGGGAGCAAGGAGCATGCAGTTCAGGCGTGCAAGACGGCAGCGTGTGGAGACAGAGGGCTGCTGGGCAGGGAGTGTCCACAGGAGGGCAGGTCAGTGGCTACATGCTCAGTGGAGGTGACAGATGGTCAGACTATGCCACCCAAGAAGGAAGGGAAGAAGTGAGGGCAGTAGGAAGGAGTGGCTGCAGCAGCCCATAGGAGTGGGGAAGGAGAGTCATCGGGGACAACACCAAAGCCCAGGGGCAGGGCATGTGCTGGGGCCACCTACCTATCACACTCTCCACCCCGTCTGGAATGTCATAGTCCTCATCACTGTCAGGCGGTACCTCGAGTGGTTTCTGCTCACTCTGATCCTGGGCAGAGAGCTGCAGGTTAGCAGCCAAAGATCGGCAGCCCCGCTGGTACCTGCACAGAGCAGAGCACGCTTGGCTCAGCGGCTGGACGCAGCTGAAGACGCTCTTCGCTGACTGGAGTCAGCTCAGCACCACCAGGAGCCCTGGAGGCTGCCTGTGCCAATTCCCACACGTGCAGAGAACTATGCTGCGGTGAAGGCCTGACTGCCCAGGCCATAGAGCCCTCAGGGGCTCCCCCAGGTTTCACCCCCCAAATGCTGCTTTAAAGTTGCCACACGCCCAGGTCCTGTTCTCCACGACGCAGGGTCAGCACCACCTCCCCCGGACCCCGGAGGGGACCAGGTCTGGCTGACACACCTACTTAGCCACACAACTCTGCACTCCAGAACTGCTCTGTGCCTCAGTTTCCTCTCCGTAAAGCAGGGACACGGCTCTGCAGAGAGCTACTGTGAGAACAGGGGAGGGGCCGCACGGACATCTGGTGCAGAAAGAGGCCTACTAACACCACAGCCCTTCTCAGAGGACCTGCAGCAAGCCACCGGCCCCTTGTGGGGCTAAACCATTCCCAAAGCCTCTTGGAAACCAGGCACTAATGTCCTGTGATGCAACCACATCTCACCAAAAGGCACTCAGGAAAACATCGCCAAACCCCCGGCACACTTCTCGGGCATCTGCTACAATTTGGAACAAAGGTTCGGCTGAACTTCAAAATAATCCCTTCCCAAAATGCCATTAACACTTAAGATAAAACTGAAGGTCATCAGGCTGGGGTTGTAGCTGAGTGGTCGAGGGCTTGCCTTGCATGCGTAAGGCACTGGGTTTGATCCTCAGCACCACATAGAAAAATAAATAAAAACAAAAATATTGTGTCCATCTACGAGTAAAAAATATTTATTGAAAAAAAAAAAAAAAAAGAAACTGAAGGTCATTAAGAACATGGAGCCAAGAACCTGAGCAAACCTGTCCTCATGGGAGCCAGGGCTCAGTCAGCCTGCTACCTACCGCGGGCACTCGTGGGCCACCGCCAAGCCGAGACGCTTCCCTTCCCCAGCAAACCTGCAGAAGCGAGCCTGGCCTTCCCTGAGAAAGCCTGGGACTCAGACTGATGACTGAGCACTGACCACTGCTCCTCACAGCAGCCTGCACCAGCAGCCCAGGGCTGCATCCAAGCACATCATCCGCCAGCACTCTGAGGAGTGCCAGGGGCCGAGGCAGCTTCCCTGGCCATCCCTCCAGCCTCCGCTGCTTACCTGGAAGACCGCGTCAAAGTAGCCTGGAGGAAAATCATTCCTCATAAGACAGACACGCTCAGAGACCACAAGCACAGGAGCACAGAAGACTCTATACGTCAGCCTGCGCAGCCATGGCCACCTGAGACCGGCGCCTACCCACCTCCACGTGGCCACCTTTGGCCGTAGGAAGGTCAGCCCCAGCCGCTGCACCAGCTTCACCCCCAGCTTCCGCAGCAGGGTCTGGTTGCTCTCAGAGAGTCTGCAGCCGTCGAGGCTCCGGAGCACGGTGCTGGCTGTGGACGAGAGCAGCAAGTCAACACTGAAGCCCTCGTCCAACCAGGTGCCACAGCCCCGACACCAGCGGGCCCCTGACTACCTGGGCCTGGACCCAAGAACCCATCCCCAGGTTCTAGAGAGCAGCTGGAGGAGCGGGCCCACTTGCTCGGCATGGCCAAGGAGGGCCCCGCACAGTGTGGAGCCGTCCTACCAAGGAGCAGCCATGCGCGCCAAGGGGCCCGGGGCCCTAGGGTGAGTGTGGCATCACAGCAGGAATGCTGAGGGCAGGACCAGAGTCTGAGCCCAGGGACAACGTGCAGGGAGGCCAGCACAGGAGGAGGCATGGCGGGACCCTGTGCCACAGGGGTCATTTGGGATGAGGGGGACCCGGGAGCAGCTAAAGCCAGGACAGCACAAGGACAGCAACCATGGAGACGAGGAGACGTGGGCCCAGTGCTGGAATTCAGAGACTGAAAGGAAGTGGACCAGACTGAGCCACGGTGTGTGGGGGAGGAGGGAAGAAGGGAGGGGGATGGAGCCCAGCACTAGGACAGAGGAGGTGACGGGGAGGGGGGACAAGGTGGGCAAGGTGGGGGAGGTGAGGGAGAGGGGGAAGGGGGGAGGTGAGGGAGAGGGGGGAGGGGGAGGGGAGGGAGAGGGGGAAGGGGGGAGGGGAGGGAGAGGGGGGAGGGGGAGGTGAGGGAGGAGGGGGGAGGGGGAGGTGAGGGAGAGGGGGAAGGGGGAGGTGAGGGAGAGGGGGAAGGGGGAGGTGAGGGAGAGGGGGAGGGGAGGGGAAGGGGAGGGAGATGGGGAAGGGGGAGGTGAGGGAGAGGGGGGAGGGGGGGGTGAGGGAGAGGGGGGAGGGGGAGGTGAGGGAGGGGGGAGGGGGAGGTGAGGGAGAGGGGGAGGGGGAGGTGAGGGAGAGGGGGAGGGGGGAGGTGAGGGAGAGGGGGGAGGGGGAGGTGAGGGGAGGGGGGGAGGGGGAGGTGAGGGAGAGGGGGGAGGGGAGGGGAGGGAGAGGGGGAGGGGGAGGTGAGGGAGAGGGGGAGGGGGGAGGTGAGGGAGAGGGGGGAGGGGGGAGGGGAGGGAGAGGGGGAGGGGAGGGGAAGGGGAGGGAGATGGGGAAGGGGGGAGGTGAGGGAGAGGGGGAAGGGGGGGAGGGGAGGGGAAGGGGAGGGAGATGGGGAAGGGGGAGGTGAGGAGAGGGGGAAGGGGGGAGGTAGGGGGAGGTGAGGGAGAGGGGGAAGGGGGAGGTAAGGTGGGGGAGGAGGGGGGAAGTGAGGGAGAGGGGGGAGGGGGGAGGTGAGGGGGAGGGGGGAGGTGAGGGAGAGGGGGGGGGGGGGAGGGGGGGGGGAGGGGGAGGGGGAAGGGGGGGGGGGAGGGAGAGGGGGAAGGGGGGAGGTGAGGGGGGGAGGGGGAGGTGAGGGGGGAGGGGGGAGGTGAGGGGAAGGGGGAAGGAGGCAGGGAGGGTTGGGGACAAGGTGATGTGGAGGGAGATGAAGTGACATGGCAGGAGGGACAAGGTGGCAAGCAGGGGGATGAGGTTTCAGGTGGTGACAGGAGGAGCAAGGCTGCTACAGGAAGCCAGGATGTCGGCAGCCACTGTGGGCCACATCTGCTGGGATCAGATCCCACGGGAGCAAGTCGGGCATCAGGCAGCCCGGCTTCAGGTACAGGCCCCATGCAGTCTCCTGCGCTTCAAATGCAGACAGCTGACCAAAGCCACACCGTGCCAACACACCAAGCAAACAGGCAGAAAGCTACCACAGTGTTCAGGCACCAGGGGACAGCTTGATACCCGAGGGGGACATGCAGGAAGCACCCCTCGACCTTGTCTTAAACACGCCTTTCCACAGGAGGCGTGTGGACTGCGTGGGGCAGACACTGACAATGACCTTGTCTTAAACACGCCTTACCATAGGGCAGACAGTCCTCACGCTTCCCGTGTTTAAATATTTGGGCCTGGAAAAAAAAGAAACCAACGTTGTAAATACATCCACAAGCTTATGGCGTGCAGTTAGCAGACCAGCCCCCTGGCCTTCCAGAATCCCTTCCCTCAACACGCCCCACCTGACAGCAGGAGAAGGGAAGACTGGCAGACCCCGGAGAAAAGGCCTGCATGGGCACCCAGGCTGCCAACCTGGGCAGGGCCAGCAGTGAGTGCAGACTGAATGGAGCCGCGGGGGCTTTAAGTTAGCTCTGATAAAGACGTTAAAGAATAAAAGTGACAGGCCAAGCCAGGCAGTGGCGCACACCTGTAGGCCCAGTGGCTCCAGGGGCTGAGGCAGGAAGATCGCAAGTTCAAAGCAAGGCGCTAAGCAACTCAGCGAGACCCTGTCTCTAAGTAAAATACAAAACAGGGCTGGGGATGTGGCTCCGTGGTTGAGTGCCCCTGAGCTCAATCCCTAGTACCCCTCCCCCCCCAAAAAAAGTGACAGGCCAACTCCCTGCACACAGAAGAAAAGCCAAGAGCTCAGCCTCACTCTCTCCTCTCGGTCAACACAGGGTGATACCCCTGTCCCACACAGGACTGACTTCCACCCACAACAGCCCTAGCTGCCTCCAGCCCACACGAGCAGCCCCCAGTAGGTGCGCTGACGGATCCAGAGTCTGTCAGCCAAGGAGGAGCACCTGGCTGTCACAGATGCAGTGGCTCTAGCCCCTGAATTCTCAACCACTTCCAAGTCTGGAAGATGAACTCAGTAACGCACAAGCAAGGGGGCCCTTCTGCAGAGCTGTAGAGCTGAGCACTTCCAGGGCCTGGTTGATATGTACCCTCCCTTCAGGCACAATGCCTGCAGGCCACGTGAGCCCTCCTTCCAGGTGAGGCAATCCCACAGCCTCAGCAGGGCGCAGACCCTCCCTGCCACCCACACACCAGCATGTACTCGCAGAACACCTACGCAAACACATAAACATGCACAGGCATGTACTCAAACAAACACACATGCAAACACATTGGCATGCACTCCCATGAACATGCACCAATGTACAGAGACATGCACATGCATGTAAACACAGTAACATGCACTCATGTGAACAACACAAGTATGTAGGCACACATACATGCAAACACACTGAGTGCACACATGAACACACATGCAAACATGCTGACACATGAACATTAACAAAAATGTAAACATGCAACCATGTGGCCGCACATTGACATGTACTCGCGTGAACACACAAACATGTAAGTACATATAACATGCATGAGCATGTGAATCCAGAGAGATACACACATATAAACACCTTAACATGCGCTTGCATAAACATGTGTAAGCACACATTGACATACACTCCTATAAACATGCACAAGCATGTAGACCCAGATATGCACACACACATGTAACACACAGTACCATTTGCTTGCATGAACACGTGAGTGAGCATTATTAACATACTTATTAAGCACATCCTGGAAGTGCTCAGCTCTACAGCTCTGCTGAAGGGCCCCCTTGCTCGTGAGTTACTGAGTTCATCTTCCAGACTTAAAAGCAGTTGAGATGCATGAACATGCACAAACATGTAAACCCAGAGACATGCACACACATGCTTGTAAACACAAATTAACATGCACTCGTATGAACACCCAAGCAAGCACACATAATGTGCAAACACTGACATGCACCCATGTGAACACACAGCAAACACACCGGCACACACTTGCATGAACGTGCAAACACATAAATCCAGATGTGTAGACACTAATATGCATTCATGAACACATGTAAGAACATCACTTGCACTCATATGAACATCACAAACATGAAGAGATGTACAGACACATAAACCCAGAGATCATAAACATGCAAACATGTAAAAACAGATGTGCACACACACCAAATATGCAAAAATGTAACCAAACACAAACATGTAAACAGGCACAAACACATCACATGAACATATGCACACATGCACAAGCACATAAATAACAAACACCCATGAATGCACACACAAGAACATGTACACATAAACATAAATGCCTAAGCACACAAACACACAGACATGCATAAATGCAAACACAAGCACATGCATAATCATACACAAATACAAATGTGTACATACAAAAATGGCAAACATAAACCCAAGCACAAACAGGCAGTACACCTGTGTAAACACACATGCATAAATACACATATAAGCACACACATGCATACACATGCACACAGACACAGACACTCATAAACACACACATAGCTTCTCGGGAGCTACTCAGAGCCACTGGGAGGCCCAGAGCAGCTGCCCACGCTCCACTTGCGGCATCAAGAAAGATGCGGCTCGGGGAAATGGCCAACCACAGCCTGGGTGTCACACTGTCAGCACTGACATCTCTCAGAAAGGGATCCTGCTCTGCCCCAGACCCACTGGTACGAGTGGCAGCCAGCCACATGCACTCCCTTCCGGGGCCTGCAGTCATGGTCCACACGGTCCCCAGAAGTCACCTCCTTTGCCCTTCCCCCTCCTCCTCCTCCCATCAGCTCCACCTGGGAAATGTGAGTAAACACTGCACATCAGGAACCCATGGACAGTAGGGCCCCACAGCCTCTGCGGGACACTGGCTGGCCACTGCCGGGGCCACCTTGAACAGTGACAACTCATGACATGTTGACTGCTCAGAGGAGCTGCAGGACTGACAGCTGCAGAGACATCAGGTCTCCATCCATCCTCAGTGGACGTTCACGACATCACATTCCTAACACACACCCACTCCAGATTAAAGTGAGATCAAACAGACTCTAACTTAAGTTCCACAATGTTGGGGTGTGTTCCTGCCACCCTGGTTTTTCAATTGTTTTGCACATGAATGGATGCTGAGTTTGAAAGATTTTGCCAAAGCTTCCAAAACCATGGAAAGGTATACCCCACGTGCTCTGGGTGACAGTAATGTCCTCCTGATGCCACCAGCACCACACTGCCATGCTCCCTGTGCCAAGGTCTGGGCAGGCCAGGGCCAGCCAGGAGCACAGGGCTACGAGCCACAAGACAGCAGGTCAGCGGGCACTGAGGAAACGAAGCCCTGCATGTCACAAACTCAGCGCACCTGTGGCAGTCCTGCAGCGTCACAGTCAGAACTGCTGTGCAAGGGAACAACAGCTTCTCGTCTTAGAAATAATTGGTCAGAAGGGCACAGTGACTTGGCAGGCTGCCCTCCAGGACACAGAGGCAATGCTCGGCCTGAGAGGTCACCACTGCGACACAAGCGCCTGCTGTGGAAATTGGCGCTGCAGGGCCTTCACCGGCCACGGAAGTTACGGGATGATAAAGGTGCTTCGTGATCGTGATGGCCACCAGCCAGAAAACCTGAAGGTAATGACAAATCCCAAGAAAGATGATTCCCAAGGAAAGAGATCTGCATAAGATAAAGAGACGGATTATTTAATGGAGCGTCACTAGTGGGAAGGCAATGCCACACCACACAAACCCCAAGAGAGAGAGGAGAGACACTCCCCAGCCGGCCACAGGGCCAGTGGAACCCTGGTGGACATGCTAGCTGACCTCTGTGGGCCACAAGAACCCATCTCTCAAGAAAGCAGAGGCAAAAAACTCTGGGGAGAAGCAGCTCTCAGAATTCAACAAACCACGAACACAGTTCCCACCACAACCAGATGGGTTCATCCAGTGCAAGGAACTCAAGGCTTGCAAGATCCAAAAATTAATACCATGACGTGCCCAGGTCAAGGAATAAGGAACAAAAAACGTGCTGTCACAGAGCAAGAGCAGAGAGACCATGACACAAGGGCCTTCCAGGATATGCACCCTCAATAACCCTGGAAAGAGGGCGCTTCCTCCAGACAGGGTCCCGATGCCCTGGGCTCACCGCTGCGTGAAGACCATGCCTACACCCAAAGTCCCCAGGAAGAGGCTGACAATGTTTGGAAGAGGGAGAGTGTCCAGCAGAGGCTGGTGGAGCCGTGAGAGGGTCTCCTGGTGCAAGACCTAGGTGGAGGGACAGAAGCTTCCAAAAGAAGGAAGCTGAGCAGTAAACAGTGGGTCGGATGCAGACCACCCTGAGCACAATGAAGACGGAGGTGAGAAAGTACAGCACAACCAACCAGACCCTGGCCCAACACAAACCCAGCCGCGCCTGGCAGGACTGCACTCCAGGCGCACCGGGCCACACCATGCCCCCAAACTGAGAGATGGCAAGAGCAGTGCCAAGGAGCCCAGTGACTTCCATGCCAGGCTGCATGTGTCCTTTGCCAGGTCCCACGGCCACTTGCTCTCCAGAGCTGCCCCTGGAGGAAGCCACTCCCCTGCAGCAGCAGCCAGCCAGGGAAGGCCCCAGCTGTGCCCTCCCACATGGGCACATGGAGAGGCAGAAGGAAGCATCCTGGCTCCCAGCTCTGTGAAGACCACAGAGTGGCTGTCGTTTATGGTATGGGTTTGGGGTGGGCAGCCCATCGCAGAGGACAAATGCCTCCTCAGGAGGCAGCGGAGGGCAAGGAGTCCTGTGGTCAAGGGGCACCAGAATTCAGGCTGCGTGGCAGCAACATGCCTAAAAAGTCCCCAAAATAAACACCGCCCTGGCAGCGTGTGGAGGGCATGAGAAGGGGTGCAGACTGACCTGCAGGAGTCCACTGCAACGTCCACCTGAGGGGACCCCGAACAAACAGGAGGAGATGTGCAGGAGGCCCAGGCACCTGGCTTGTCACTAGTAAGACTGAGGACACTGTGGAATGCCAATGCCAGACAGACACGAGCCTTCTTTACTCACCAACTCCTGATAAGCACAGTGAGACTCAGCCTAAGCCTGTGACAAGCAACAGGAGTCCTCAGGAAAGCAAGTGCACGTTTTCAGACACACAGCCATGACACCTGTGAACCCCAGCCATCCCCATCCGCCCCATGCACAGGATGCAGCCACTGGCCACCCAGAGTCAAGAGCCACACCCCTGTCTGCTGGGGAGGAACACCAATTCTCCATCTCTCTTTTCTTTTTTTTTTGTATTTATTATTTA